CTCTCTCTCTCTCTCTCTCTCTCTCTCTCTCTCTCTCTCTCTCTCTCTCTCTCTCTCTCTCTGTGTGTGTCTATGTCTGTGTGTCTTTTCTATATTAACGGCGACCGCGCTAACCGGCTAACCAATGAAAAGACGCCAGTCTTGTAACGGGATAACAAACGTCCGCGTGTGTGTGTCTCTCTCTCTCTGCCTATATAGTTCTTCCTTACCCTTCCAGCGCAAGGTGCTCCAACAGCATGCGCCGCTCCCCATCGCTGTAGGAGTTGTTGTGCCCGCAGCGTAGCGGCAACACTCTCCCCAGAGACAGGCACCCGTCACCACCACCACTCTCGCTGCTGCCGCCACCGCCCACCATTGCCGAAGCCGGGGAAGAGGACGAAGCCACCCTGCCTCCCAGGAGTTGGCTACCGTCGCCCCCTCCCACAAGGTCCATGCCGTAGCTGAAGCGTCGTTATATTGTTTGTATTTTCCCGGAGAAGACAGCGGAAAAGAAAAACACACGCGGACACACGCAAGGGGCTAGATGAGAAACAAGGGACGAAACTACTGTGGGCGCCCGGGGTGCTTCAGTCTAATGGGAGGAGACAACAGCCCGTCTCCAGCTATGGACCAAGTCATTGGACGAACGCTTGAAGGAAGGCATCACCATACACAGACGCGAAACGAGCATGTACGTTTTTCAATATGCACCCGGTTAGCGTCTTTCCACCGGTCGACCTATCAACCAAAACAACAGCAAACAAAGAACAAGCACATGCCGAGCAACAATAGCATACAGCATGCGTATGATACGACACGTAGTGGGGATTCCTACATGCACATACAATGGGGCAGAGGGCGGCGGAGAAATCGGAGATAGTCGTCGCCGCCAATCACAACGCGCGGGGTGACGAAAATGACAAGCGTACAGTACAAACAAAGCAAGAGAATCTGAGATAGAACTGCCTTCGCGCGATCGGTAAGTTTATGCGGAAAAAAATCAGGACGGGGGGACGCAGACTCTGCCGTATGACACAAGATAAAACACCCCCTGGACCAATTTTCAAAGCTCGATTATGCGACAACGAAGAGGATGCATAAATGAAACAATACACTTTCGGAAAGCTCTAGACGAGACAGCTTCAACTCCACCGTTTTCCGCGCTGTAACTCTTTCTGCTGTCGAGAAACCGAGATTTGAAAATCTGCCCAGGGGGTGTGTTATCTTGTGTCATCTACGGTATTCCCTAACCCTAACCCTAACCCTAACCCAACCTCCCCGATTGTATACTTTATACAACATGTTTGCTTAATACGAAAAAACCTGCGAATGCCACAGCACTGCCAAGATAACGCGCCCGAGTGATTGGTCGCCAATGTCACAACCAATTGTGTGTGTGTGGCCCACAGCTACGTACGAGCAAGCCGCATCCAGGCTTGAGGATACCGTTGACCCTCGCTGCCGTTGTCTTCGCGGAGACAGAGGTCCAAAAAACACATCGAACACACACACAAACACACACATGCGAACCGAGGAAGAAGACATTGCCCGGGCAACGTACGAGAACAAGTGGCGGTGCCCAAAGGACAGAACGGAAGACATGTCTCGCCGGTGTTGCCACACCCAACACCCTGACCTTCGCCTTCCACCTTCATCGCCACCACCACCACCAACAACAACACCAACACCAACAACAACAACAAGCAAGCAACTACCGACACCACAGAACCTCTCACCATCCGTCGCCACCATTCGACGCCCGTCCCGTGCCTGATACCCCTCCCTCCAGCGCGGCGAGCCCACGCTCTTCCGGAGCACCCCGCACGACAGCAGCACCGCCAACGCCTCCGCTACCCCTCTCGAAGCCGCCTTGCCCCTCTCGCGCAAACCCCAATAGGCTGCCGCAGTTCGTGCCGGAAATGGACGACGAGGATAACGCCGCTAACGGTACCGCCGGGGGTGGCGCGCCTCCTTCCATAGACAGCCGTTGCGCCAGGTACGCCAGCATCTGGGACACGAAGGCCACGAACGGGTCCGAACCTAGCTCGTCCGGATGCTCCTTTGATGGGGGTTACGAGCGTCGGGG